TATATATGTATTAAAATTTTATTTATTAATTATGTGCCAGAACCTTTTTACTTACTCCTATGAAGAATGCATATTTAGTACACATGAGATGTTACGTATTATAATAATTGTATTTATTTTTATGTATAGTGAAGAATCAAAAACACATATTCAAGAAATTTTTTCACAAATTGAACAACTGAAAGTAGAAGAAAAATTGTTGTTGTACCTGAAACTTCCATTATCATTGACTAATACAGGAGGAACTGTTGATCCTTTGAGACAACCATTAAATCCATTAGGAAATCGTTATGAAATTCATCAAACTATCATGTGGATTAAAACGCATTTAGAAGAAGATCCAGATGTCTCTTTGCCAAAACAAGAAGTTTATGATGAATATAAGTACGTGTTTTAAATCTAATATGTCCAATATGATATACATAAGTATTCTGCAAAATAATAATTTTTGAGAAAAATGTATTTTGTTATCTCATACTTAAATTTCTAATTTATTCACAGTATGTATTGCATGCGGAATTCTATGAAACCATTGTCAACTGCTGATTTTGGAAAAGTTATGAAGCAAGTATATCCAAGAGTTCGACCACGTAGGCTAGGCACAAGAGGCAATTCACGATACTGTTATGCTGGAATGCGTAAAAGAGTTAAATTGGATCCTCCAACATTGCCTAATATATCTGGCACTCAAACTGTAAGACATCGTATTCATTTTAATATATAAATATTGTTGTTAATATTTTTTTTTAATTTACCAATTAAAATGAATATTGTAATTAAGTGCAACTAAATAATTAATACTATTAAAAAATAACACAATTTAAGATCAGTTTAAAGTATTATTTATATATATGGTATTGGGGCCACATTATCCATCAACAGAAGCAATAACAACGAGGAAATAAGGAGGGCACCTTGGCTATGAGTGTAGAGTCCCGGCTTGCCGGCTGAATGTCGCGGGTTCGATTTCTGCTTGGGCCCTCATTTTTCCTCAGCTCCTACATGCAGAATTGAACATTTTTATCTTAATATTAAATCTTTTAGGGCGATGAAGTAGATGAAAATATTACTGAAGAAATGTTGGGAGCTGCATCTACATTAATCAGAGAATGGGCAGAAAGCCTCTTAGGCTTGAAATTTCCAACTTTGAGTGCCTTAGCACGTCATCTTGTTGATAATCTTTGTGTTGATACTCGATCTCTATCTGCTGTATGCATACTATGTGCTTCAGGAAATTCTAATACATCAACAAATAAAGGTTTGATTATATTTATTTATTTCTCGAGTAATTTTATTAAATGAATGTTATAAATTATATTACATGTTTAGAGTCGAACACAGATGTGCGTGTAACATCTATAAGTGGAAAATCTGGAAAGCTCAGAGAAGCACAATTACAATTGCAACGAAAATTACAACAGCGTGAACATATAAGGGATCAAAAGCACCGTCATCTTGATGCTGTCATACAGGTACAAAATATTTTAATAAGTAACACAGTGTAAATGATAGTTAAATATAAGATATTTTTGATAAATGAATGAAAGAACAAGAAAATGAATACTTATTCAAAATAATATACAGAATGGTTTCGCGATAATCTATTGTCACAATCCATAAAATACACATGTATTTGATTAATAAAGAAAGTACCCATTACATATGCTAAACGTAAAATCAATAGTATGTTCTAAGTACATTGAAAGCATTGGCTAAATAAGACAATTTATTGTTCAACTTTTCAGCAATTAAAAACATAAGAAACACAAGAATTTGCACATCTATAATTTGGCTAGCAAAACTCTGTACATGACAAAAAGGGGAAACATGTTAAACAATTTTTGATAATGATAATAATAATGGGGGATGAAT